AGCCATCTGGGTGGTTAGTTTATCCAATGTTGGTGCAGGCGAAAACCGGAAATCGTGCTACATCAGACATACATTTAAACCAGAGGCGATTCGAACCCTGGACTTGTGAGAGAGAAATACGCACGTTACGATATACAACCCAAGATCCAAGTGAACCCCTGCTGTTGGTTCGTCTCCTCCCTGGCTGGATTTTCAACCTGAAGTGATTGCCCTCGGTGGACCGCTCCCGAAATCCCACGTGAACCCTGTTATTCTCTGCAAATACCACCTCTCCAGGATCGCCCACTGGTCCTCAGGTAGGGTCGTCCTCTACACTGATGGTTCTGTTGACCCCGCTACAGGTCGGGTCGGGGCTGGTGTCTACATCTCCCGTCCTGATGCCCCTGAGCTTATCAAACTGCCTCTCAGAGTTTCTGACGGGGCATCCTCCACTCAGGCGGAACAAATAGCCAACCCTTACTAATCTTCTTAATAAAAAAAATAACCATGCCATCTCTAAGCACAGCAGCTGTCCATAGTCAGGTCAAAGGGTAAGATGACCCAACCTTCTCACCTGGTTACAAATCTGCTTAATCACAAAATTATCCAGTTTGTACATACCATTACTAAAATTCATGTTGACAGATTTGGTATGTTTAATGAGACTGGATTCTATAATTTTCCTACTGTCAATTGAATTACAAGGTAATATTGAGGAGGCATTATCCCAGTCAATGCAATGCTTATTATCTCTCATATGAGTGGACAGAGCATTGGATTCCTGGCCTGTCCTAACACTATATTCATGCTGTTTTAGTCTAGTTATAAGATCTTTACCCGTCTGGCCTAAGTAGAACATATTACATACCTTGCAAGGAACCTTGTAAATGCAGCCGCCTGCATTGTTGGGGGAGTTCTTAATTAACATTTGTTTTACAGTGAAGAGCTACAGAAAGATCTCTGTAAGCTTCAAGAGTGGTCGAAGAAATGGCTGTTAAGATTCAATATCACGAAGTGTAAGAGGATGCACCTAGGTTGTACCAACAGTAAGGAGGCGTATCACATGTCCTGAAGGGATGAAGAAACAGCATTAAAAGAAACCGAATGTGAAAAAGACCTAGGTGTTTATGTTGACAACGAACTCAAGTTTCGGGCCATTGTGAGAAGAAGGTGAATGAAGCAACTAGACTAGTAAGTCTTGTAAGGTCATTCAGATATCTACACAGCCCATCCCTATTCCTTCGAAATGCTCTTCAAGAGGTGCTTTTGCCGTCTGGAGTACTGGTCCCCGAGATATGCCAGAGACTGTCAGTTGATTGAAAATGTCCAAAGGCGGGCCACCAAACTGATGCCTGCAGTACAGCACCTCAGTTACCCTGAGAGATTATAATGTCTGTAGCTGCCTAGCTATAAACGGGATAGGGGTGACCTAATTGAAGTCTATAATCATCTCAGAGGGTACTACTCAGTCGAGTGTCCATACCTGGAGCTGGCGGATGCACGCCCCACTAGGGTTCGCAGCTGGAGGATGAAGAGGCCACAAGTCCATTAACTGTATTGTGACGGCACCAAGTGTGAGCTCTTTCAAGACCAGACTAGCACAGGTATAGACATTCAGGAGCCAGTACATGTCCAGTACTTGCCAACAGTGTGTAACAGCGACGTAGCTGACCGTCCAAGCGGCTAACGAGCAAATCAGTGGCGAAGAGGATAAAAGTAGAAGCAGACCACATGCTATAGTAACACCCTACCCACATGTTTTATGGACTATGAAGTGTAATATGAATCAGATAGCATAGTTAATTAACCTGCATATTTGTGATCAGTACACTAGGACCTTATGAGCGGTTAATGGCATCTTCTAGAACATCATGAGCAGTTAATGGCATCTACTTGTGACATCTACTAGAACATTATTAGCAGTTAATGACTGTACGACATCTCCTAGAACATCCTGAGCGGTTAATAGCGTCTCCTAGAACATCATGAACCTTTAATGGCGTCCCTATATTATGGGTGGTTAATGGCACCTTCTAGAATGAGCGGTTAATGACGACGTCTCCTGGAACATTATGAGCAGTAAAGGCGTCTCCTAGATCATCATGAGTGGTTAATAGCATCTAATAGAACATCACGAGGGGTTAACAGCGTCTTCTAGAACATCATTAGGGGTTAATGACATCTAGAACATCATTAGGGGTTAATGGCGTCTCCTAGAACATCATAAGTGGTTAATAACGTCTCCTAGAACATCATGGGCGGTTAATGACGTCTTCTAAAACATCATGAGTGGTTAATGGCGTCTTCTAGAACATCATGAGCGGTTAATGCCGTCTTTTAGAAGCACCATGAGTGGTTAATGGCGTCTCTTAGAACATCACGAGTGGTTAATGACGTCTTCTAGAACATCATGAGCAGTTAATGACGTCTTCTAGAACATCACTTCACGTATCAAAATCTACTGAGTATTTTTTTCCTTTTTCTTTGTTCACGATAAGAACATAAGAATGGAAGAAATGCAGCTCGTTTATTGGATCATACAGGGTAGTCCCGTTTACATCCAACCCCTATTGCTCATAATTTCTATATCCGCCCAACTGATATTTGAAGCTACCTATATTTCAGAATACAACAAAGAAAAATAAACGCATGTTTGTAGTATTTTTCAGCCTTATATTTAATCCAAAGATTTCGGTCGATCTGCTCAAATAAAGTATTACTGGAAAATTTAAGGATTATCATGTATTTTTTACATCACCAAAATTGAATTTTCTTCCCGAGCAACGTCATGTAACTCTGCAATTATATAAATACTCGAGAGAGAGAGAGAGAGTAACGTTAAAAATGCATTACTGCGCCAACTAAGGTTTTTAAGTGCGTATTCAGGGCTACTTTTATCCTCTTCGCCACTGATCGGCTCGTTAGCCGCTTGGATGGTCGGTCACGTCTCTGTTAAGCACTGTTGGTAAGTACTGGACATGAACTGGCTTCTGAATATATCGGAACCTGCTCTGTCGGTCAAGTCTGGCCTTGAATGAGTTAAATCGGTTCCGTCAAAACACACTTTTAACCGAGTATTCCAAGAGTTTACAATTCTCACTCCGAAAAGTTCGCCCACACAGTTTTCTGGACTTGCGGCTTCTTCAGCCTTGAGCTGTGACCCTGTAGTAGATTCCTCCCCTACAAGCACCGAACCTTCTCGAATGCCCCAGCCTACGCCTCCAGCGCCGCCTACGGAGCGGGGGTCAACTATCTACCCACGCCTACCCCCGCCTTATAAGACCTGACACCGCTGTAACCAGCTTCTTTCTACAGTGCCACCAGCAAGCAACACCTCCTCCTCCGCGCCAGCCTCGTGGCTGCCGCTCCCGCCAGCGACCTTGGCGTCACCTCAAGCCGCGTGTCCCTCCTCTGGGCACCCTCACCACCCAGCTCTCTCTACTCAACGCTTATTACCATGCTACCTACCCAGCAACAAGCTGCATTGCACATCCAATACAATATGTATACAGTGAGCACATTGTGAGATTCCTTTCTCCATTCCATCCTGAGTGTGAACCAATATCTCATAACTCCACAAATGGTGACCCCGGAGATTCGCACTCACACAGGATGGAGGAGAAACTGATCACTCTCCCAGTCTTCAAGCAACATGGAAGACTGGCTTACCCAAGCAGAGGCAGCTCTCATCGGCTCTACAACTACTGTCTCTACACCGCAGGTTAGACACCCGAGAGCAGCTCTGCTACTCTAAGCAGACAGCCGCTCCTCTTCCTGCCCCAAGCACCACGTTCTACCGACCCCAATACACACCGTCCTGCCTCAGACACCGCCCCCGGCCCAGCAGTACCCCCTGCCGCGGCCCCTGCTCCTGACGCGGACCCACACACCCCTCTTATCTCCCTCAAGTACCCCCTGCTACTGTCCTGCACCCTGCTGCTGTCGTGGACCCTGCTGCTGTCATGCACCCTGCTGCTGTCATGGACACTCTTCCTAACGCAGCCCCTGCTCCTGACCCAGGCCCACACACCCCAGCAGGCGCATCTGAGGACTCTGTACCTGTGCCGAGTGAAGCACAACATTCATCGCCTCCACAACCCTCCTTCTCTCTCTTTTCTCCCACAGATCTCGTGTATCTAGACAGAGTTGCCCCTTCCTAGCGGCATGCTCATCCACGCCCTCGCCGTTATGTCCCACATGTGGCATGCACCGCCCGTTCTGCCTCACATGTGGCCCGCAACTCTGCCAACCTCCAGCCTCCAGCCGCGCCCGGAGGGGAAGGGGAGTATTGTAGTGGATTCCTCCCCTACAAGCACCGAACCTTCTCGAATGCCCCAGCCTACGCCTCCAGCGCCGCCTACGGAGCGGGGGTTAACTATCTACCCACGCCTACCCCCGCTTTATAAGACCTGACACCGCTGTGACCAGCCTCTTTCTACACAGTGCCACCAGCAAGCAACACCTCCTCCGCGCCAGCCTGGCGGCTGCCGTTCCCGCCAACGACCTTGGCGTCCCCCTTGGCGTCCCTCAAGCCGCGTGTCCCTCCCTGGGCACCCTCACCACCCAGCTCTCTCTACTCAACGTTTATTACCATGCTACTTACCCAGCAACAAGCTGCATTGTACATCCAATACAATATGTATACAGTGAGCACATTGTGAATTTCCTTTCTCCATCAAATCCTGAGTGTGAACCAATATCTCATAACACCACAACCCCTTGTGGGGCGGGCGTCCGCCAACTCCAGGAATGTATACACTCGACGGAGTAGTGCCCCCCCCCCCCTCCCCGTCGCAGAAATTACACAAGTGGCTAGTCCACCAACAATTAAAATTTTGAGATATAACTGATGAAGCCAGAAAAGGTAACAGCGTTACTGTTTAGATAGCAAAACAGAAGCTGTGTATAAAGGTATAACAGTCGGCGAAGTCCCCCCCCCCTAAAACATCTCCACATTGTCTTATAACTAACTGGCAACTCTAAAGCCCTACCTTGTTCTAAAGCCCTACCTTGAATCTCGCCGTGATGACTCGACAGTCTCCGCGAGTCTGTCAGTGCAGTCCTACACTCAGCCGCAAGTATACAAACTTGAGGTAAGGTAGGAAAATAGAGGCTGCAAACGGGCTAATACTCTGGGAAAACAGATGGCAGACATGTTAGCTGGCAGTGTTCTCATCACTGGGTGTAATAGAGGCCTTGGCCTGGAGATGATTCGTCAACTCGTCACTTCCAGTACTCCGCCACGAGTAGTGATCGGGACCTGCAGGAAACCTGATGAAGCTTTGGTAAGTAAATAAAAGTTTATTTATCTTTTCCATGCTCTCCAGTTTAGGGATAACCCTAACACCCTCAAATCCACCAACGGGTGACTAGGGCAGGTAATTTCTAACCCCAACCCCTCCTTTGTGACTTCACTCTGCCTAGACGTCGGGTGATGTTGGCTGAATTATTGTAGGTATATTTTCCTTTGGGGCCAAAGTTTGTAGCACCTCTGTGTTAAGAAGGATGAGGAATTCACCAAAACATGTACTGTACACATAATAAACGTGATCCAAGAAGAGTGGGTGGGTATTTTCAATACATTTGTCATTATTTATATATATATATATATATATATATATATATATATATATATATATATATATATATATATATATATATATATATATATATATGTGTGTGTGTGTGTGTGTGTGTGTGTGTGTGTGTGTGTGTGTGTGTGTGTGTCACGAATAGGGATGACACTTTTGTATTACGATATTTAGGTAATAAAATGGTGGCTAAGGTTTGGCTATATGGGGAAGCTGGAGGCCATGTTTTTATTGAAAAAATGGTGGTGGTGGCGGCGGCAGGTGCAGCGGTAACGCGCATATGTTTTATGTCCTGGGTTCGAGTGCTAACCCTGCACAGATGTGAGAAGGGTATTTCTCAGATTGACCATAACACTATTGCCTTAAACTTCATAAGAATGGAGGAAACTGCAGCAGGCCTGTTGGCCCATACTGGGCAGTCCCATTTACACGCAACACCCCTTTTACTTTACTTTTATCCTCTTCACCACTGATCGGCTCGTTAGCCGCTTGGGCGATCGGTCACGTCTCTGTTACGCAATGTTGGCAAGTACTGGGCATGCACCGGCTCCTGAATGTACCTGAACCCGCTCCACTGTTGGTCAAGTCTTGTCTTGAAAGAGCTCACACTCGGTGCCGTCACAACACTTTCTGGTAGATTGTTCCAAGAGTTCACAACTCTTACTCCGAAAAAGTTTGCCCTCACAGTTTTCTGGACTTGCGGCTTCTTCAATCTTCAGCTGTGACCCCTTGTGGGGCGAGCGCCCGCCAGCTCCAAGTAAGGACACTCGACTGAGTAGTGCCCCTTGAGATGATTATACACCTCAATTAGGTCACCCCTTGCCCGTCTGTAGTATAAGCTAGGCAGGTTCAGGTGCTCCAATCTCTCAGGGTAGCTGAGGTGCCGAAGTGCAGGCACCAGTCCGGTGGCCCTCCTTTGAACATTTTCAACCAACTGACAGTCCCAAGCATATCTCGGGAACCAGACGGCGTGACAGTACTCCAGATGGGGAAGCACTTCACTCTTGAAGATCGTTACGAGGGACGGACCGTCCAGATATCTGAACGACCTTATAAGACCCAATAATTTATTTGCCTGATTTACCTTCTTCTCGCAATGGCCCGAGAACTTCAGCGCATTGTCAACATACACACCAAGGTCCTTCTCACATTCAGTCTCAAATAGTGCAGTTTCTTCATCCCGTTGAGTAGTAGGTAGCTACCAAACAGGGAGGTACTACCGCCTGGGAAGATATTGGAAGCATAGTGTGTTGTGTAATGGTAGACCCTGCTGCCATATGGCATCACGAAAATTGTGACCAAGTCCCAGGTTGTTGATCTGATTTTCTGCCTCATTTATACACAATGGCAGGGTCTCAATTAATTCTCATACTTTGACAACACAACACTCTTGATCTTTTTTTTTCATTTTTGTATTTATGGTTCTTTATTATTATTATTATTATTATTATTATTATTATTATTATTATTATTATTATTACTATTTTCGCCCCCCCAGGCCCCGATGTGGGTCAGTGATACGCCTCCTTACCGTTGGTACGCCCCAAGTGCATCCTCTAACACTTCGTGACATTGAATCTCAGCAGCCATTTCTTCGACCATTCTTAGAGCCCACAGAGATCCTTCTGCAGCTCTTCACAGTCCGCTTGGTTTTTTATTTCCCGAAATAACTTGGCGTCATCGGCAAACATTTGTATGGAGGAGTGTACGTCAGGAATATCATTTATGAAACAAACAAACAACAGCCGGCCCAATACACTGCCCTGTGGTACCCCGCACGGATGATGATTTCGTGCCATTAATCACCACACACTGCTTGCGGTCATGTAGAATGTCTTCTATCCACGCTAGGACATTTCCCTGAATTCCGTACCCTTCCAGTTTTATTTTCAGCTTTTCGTGGGGTACACTGTCGAAAGCCTTGGCAAAATCTAGGACAATATTGTCGATATTACCACCCCGTTGCAGGTAAGAATACTGTACATGACAGCTGAGCTGGTGTGACCATGGGAGTTTTTTATGTCCATAAGCTGCTCTTCACGGCACATTTCTTCACTTACGAAATGTCCATGACTTAGACCACAAAAAACACCCTTAAAACTTAACTGAACGTGGCATTTGGGGTCTGAAGAGGCCATCCTACGACTGCAGTGGTGAGTTTTCTTGGAAAACGTCGTTGCAAATGGCGGCCCTGTTTTTAGACAAATAAATTTATCTCGACTATTTTGGCAGGACTTTATATTTTTATTACAAATTATATATATACCCTATCACTCTACGAACGTGGCAGAGTGTATTTCTTGTGTTTAGAACCGACAACTCGTCCATTGTATACCTACGTTGTCTGTGCACATGCTGAAATGCATACCTGCATTGTCTATATGTATGCCAAACCAGATGTGAATATGTAAGACGCTTTTACTTAATACGTTGTATTATTATACCCCACAGGAGCTGCAAGCGCTGGCTAAAGACTGCAGTAACCTCAGGATTGTCAAGTTCGGTAAGACGACACCAACTCTGTTGCCCCATCTCACATTTTTTCTTACCTTTCCTCGGGTTTATTTTATATTTTAATCTTCCCTGTTGTAATATATTAATTTTCACTAATAATTTAGTGCGACGGAGTCGGGTATACACCAGAGATCAGACCAGGAGTCATTTAATCACCAGAACAGTACTTGTCAACTCTCGCATACTTCAAATACTTAACAAAAAGTAAAGAGATGTTGCAATAACCGTGTGGTACTGTAATTGCAATGCAATTACAGTACCACACGGATCAACTCCTACTCTGATACAAGCCATTCAAGATATGGTAAGATTGCAGATTACAGCAACCAAAGATTCTGAAAAAAAATGTTACCTAACCTAATGTAATATAAAGTGACCACAAAAAAAAAAGTTCTATCGATTGAGGGTGGAGTGAATTTCCGGAATTTTGTGGTTGCTGTTTACTGCAATATTACCCAAGATATAACTAGAAACACTATGAGGCCTTAATACACTTATGTGCCGGCACACTGGGCACTTTCCTCCGAACATGTTGCCCGTTTTGCTGGCAGTTGGCCAAAACGCCCAACAAGCAGCAGGATTTCGGCTGTTACGAGAATGGACAACGGTTTGCCGGGGATCTTTGCTGGCAGAGCGCCAACAAAACATCCCGGTGTAACGTAAAACGTCTCTTTGTTTGGAGGAAAGTGCCCAGTGTGCCGCTGCCTTAAGGAGTGCGAAAGATGCCTTTCCGTTGGTACAGCACTACAGTGGCCTTTCTTAAACATTGCGTTTTCTTTATTTTCATCTGACAGAAACAAATCCAACTTTTACTTATTACATTAAAACCAAATTAGTTTACCTGGTGTGTTGACTATCTCCCGTACAAGCTTCTTCTTTTACTGAAAGACTGCAAAAACCCTAAGTTACTATGTGGCGGTTAGCAAGGCATTTTTTTTTTGCCAGAAAAATTTTCAAATTTTCCGATTTTGGTAAGGGAATTTTTTTGGGGGAGGGGGGGTGGTGGGTTGTATCACGTTTTAACTGTGAATAATGTTGAAATCTATATGCTTAGGACCATTCACTGATAGCCTAATGCATTGGGTGTTTGATAATCTAGCTGAAAATGAAGTGCTGGGTATTAGGTAGCACGTCCTTGAGTCAAAATAGTGAAAGGGACATGTTTAACACTCACGGCGAAGGATTAGGCTATTCCTCGGCTACGGTATACCAGCCAAAAATGTGTAGAGCATTGTAGCGCTAACGTTACTGTATATGTAATCTCCTATGCTTGTTTGTAAGTCACGCAAATTTTAGATTTTTTATTCAAATGTCGTAGGCAAACAACACAAATGTAAAGTTGTAAACCATTCTTTGTTTACGTTGAATATGTCAGAATGGTGTCTTCCCACTTGGACGATCGCCTTTTCTGTGTTGTTCTTGGACGATTCCCACTGCCACATGGACGATTTTTACTAAAAACGTCCATATATCACAAATTCAATTAGAAATATTGTATTTATTATTGGAATATATTACGATGAATGAATTATTGAATAAAATGTGAAACGAAGATTTTTATTCAACTAATTATTAGTGATTATTATTATTTTGAATGTTATTAATTTAACAATTAAATGTTACAAATTTGTATTCAAATATTTCATGTTCTACCTGTATTCGTATTTACGAAAAAATTAAGTGACTGTAGATCCTGTCAGTAAGTCAGGTTGACAAGCTTAATATTCACGTTAACTCATGGCTAAAACAGGTGTAAATAGTGAGATCACTTAGTTCTTCGTTCATTATGGCGGAGATTATTACCCAAGGTCACGGTACTAACTAATTTATGAAGATTAGTATACATATAAGAAGGACAAGTAACACTGGAGGTGTACTACTACCTTACTGCCCTCTGTAGCAAACAACGTACTGTAAAGAAACTGCACCAGACGAGACTTCCCTTAACCTCAAGCGACTTGCAAAAGTCCAGCAGATTGGATCTCAAAATCAAATCTACACAGAATTTTTAGCTTTAGAGTCCAGTGCCACGAAGCCCGATGAAGTAACATTCCTGCCGACATTCAGCAGTGTGCACTGTACGGGGTCAAATGTATCGATCTCGACGCGAGAAAAGAAGAATGGAGGAAACTGCAGGAGGCCTATTGGCCCATACTGGGCAGTAGTCCCATTTACACCCAACCCCTATTGCTCACATTTCCATCCATCCTATGTTTGAAGCTATCCGTCCAATAATGATGTTTGGTAACTTGTTCCATTCACCCACTACTCTAATTCCAAACCAAAGTTTACCTATTTCGCGCCTAAATCTAAATATGTCTAATTTAAAACCATTGTTATGAGTTTGCTCCTGGTTGGATAGTTTGAGTACCTTTGTTATGTCCCCTTTGTTTAGCTCTGACTTCCATTTATACACTTCTATCATATCGCCCCTCACTCTAGTCTCTCGACAGAGTGCAAATTTAGATGCTTTAACCTGTCTCTGTACTCTAAGTTCCTAATGCCCGGGATTAGTTGTAGTGGATTTCTCCCCTACAAACGCTGTTTGTCGTCGAGTAGCCGACCCCGCGAATTCCCCAGTGTATGCCTCGTGGTCTGGGTCAACCAGCGCCGCCATACATCACGGAGGTCAACTACTAAGCCACGCCTACCCCCGCTATTTAAGACCTGACCTCGTGGTGACCTCTCTCTTCTTCTAGCTACAGCCGCAGCAAGCAACACCACCTCCTCCGACGCTGCCTGGCGGCCCTCGCTCCCGCCGGCGAGCATGGCGACCCACAAGCTGTCCTCCTCTGAGCACCCTCACCAACCAGCTCTCTCTGCATCACGCTCGTAACCACGCTGCCACTTCCCAGCACCAAGCTGCATTGTACATACAATACAACATGTATACAGAGAGCACATTGTGAGTTTCCTTTCTCCATCCCATCCTGAGTGTGAACCAAACCACCCATACCCCACATAGTCTTGTAATTCTCCTCTGAATTCTTTCTATGAATTCTATATTGATTCTGTAATACGGTGACCAGAATTGAACTGCTTAATGGAAGTGAGGTCTGGCAAGCACAAGATATAGTTTCAGGATGACCTCTCTAGTTTTGTAACTAACACTCCTTTGTATGAACCCAAGTACTTTATTGGCCTTGTTTCGAGCAAATACACATTGTTCGGTCCGACTAATTACCCAAATGTAGCCGCGATGAAGTCAAATAATGGTCCTACATGAATAAATCGGACTGCCAATCACTTCTCGACTAGTATTTGGTGTCACAAAGTAAAAAAAAAATTGGAAAACGTACTTTAATCTGAGTTAATAGATCGCGTGCATGTACCAAGGGAGCGAGTAATTACCCAAATGTAGCCAAATGATGGTCCTACAAGCGTAAATCGGGCTGTGAATCACTTCTCGATTATTATTTGGTGTCACAAAAAATTGGTAAACTTAATTTAATCTGAGTTGTGTTAGGTTAGGTACGGTACATGCACTCGATCTATTAACTCAGATTAAATTAAGTTTACCAATTTTTTGTGACTTCGTGACACCAAATACTAGTCGAGGTTAGGTTAGGTACATGCACTCGATCTATTAACTCGGATTAAATTAAGTTTACCAATTTTTTGTGACTTCGTGACACCAAATACCAGTTGAGAAGTGATTGGCAGTCCGATTTATTCTTGTAGGACCATCATTTGACTTCATTGCGGCTACATTTGGGTACATTTGGGTAATTAGTCGGACCCAACAATTTACTTGGCCTAAGATTCCTACCTATCAGTACTCCTAAATCTTTCTCACATTCGGATTTCTCTATAACATCGTTGTTTATCTGATATTTGGTTTCTCTGTTTACACATCCTAGACTAAGTACTTTACATTTGTCCACATTGAATTTCATCTGCCATTTTCAGACCATTCGAAATTTTTTTTTAGATCTTCCTGTAGTTTTGCAGAGTCCTTGTCAGATTTAATTACACACCCTATTTTAGTGTCATCAGCAAATTTACTTTTTACTTTTACTTTTATCCTCTTCACCACTGATCGGCTCGTTAGCCGCTTGGGCGACGGTCACGTCTCTGTTACGCAAGAGCACCGGCTCTTCAATGTACCTGAACCTGCTTATTTTGCTGTCAACGCCGATATCTATATCGTTTATGTACAGTACATAATAAATAATAATGGTCCAAGTACTGAGCCATATAGCACCACAAAAATTGTGACCAAGTCCCAGGTTGCTGATCTGACTTTCTGCCTCATTTACACACAATTGCAGGTCTAAATTGTTTCTTACTTTGACGACACATATACAGTCAACCCTCACTTTACGCGGTTAATGTAACCCGCAGGGACCCGCGGAAAGTGAGGAACGCGTAAAGTGAATAACATAACATATGGGATTAATTGAAATAGAGTCCGGGACGACCCCCAAACTCCACTTTTTGACGACATACAACTATGTTGTAGTAAAAATTTTATCTTAACTTTATGATGGTATGAAAAAACAAGTAATATAGAAGAGGTTAGGTTAGGAAAAATAAAGGTTAACATAGGAAAAATAAAGGTTAGGTTAGAAAAACTAAAAGTTAGGTGGAACACTTACGGTAGTAGAAGAGATGGGTCGGCATACGGGGATGGAGGCTGGTTCCGAGGCAGAGGGCAGATTACTGGCCCTCAGGTGAATCACCATTACTAGGTGAATCACCATCACTGTCACTTACAGTTGTCAGGGCTTCCCTGACAAATCCCTCAAAGTCATCTTCACTGTCACTATCACTGGCTTGGGCTGGCTGTGGTGGGTTGCGGGCGAAGAACTCAGTTATGCTTTTTTGACGGCTGGTGTTTATGTTGTCGTGATACACCGTGATGTACGGCTCCATAGCCTGCACCAGCCGGGTATGGAAGACTTCATAGCGGTCATCGTCATTGTCGCGGGAAAGGAAGGACTTCATTTTCTCTGCACACTCCATGGCACCCTTAATATCACTATGAGTTAAACTGTGTTCTTCGGAGAATGACGCACCTTCTTCCTTCTCTTCACTGACGTGATCTTCTTCCAACATCTCGTCGGCAGTCACTTCAGGATCTCTGATCACCTCCAGGATGTCGTCGTTGGTGGTCTCGGAGAAGCCTGGAACTGTAACAGTCTGCGCAGCTTCTCTGGCAAGGTCCACTGCTACTGCAACAGTCTGAACCTCACCAGTCACAGATTGACTCCTCCTCTCACCTGGTATTCCATGCAACACATGTCTCCATGCGTGACGAATTGTAGCAATAGACAGCTGATCCCATGACTCCACCAAGAAGTCCACAGCTTTCTTGATGTTAAATACTCTCCAGAATTGTTTGAACAGTATTTTTTGCTGTGCCAACTGTTGATCCTCATCTTCTTCGCTCTTGCTATCGGTGGTGGTGTCACTCAGGTTACGCAACTCTTCCCTGGTGTTGGTGTAGTCGTTCAGGAGTTTGAATTTTTTTGTTGAGAATGCAGCTTTTACATTACAGATTAACTCTTGGTCCATGGGCTGTAATATAGACGTAGTGTTGGGAGGAAGGAAGACCACTTTTACGTTGGGGTGACGATCTAACAGTAGGGGCGAGTGTCCTGGTGCGTTGTCCAGCAGCAACAAAATCTTGAATGGCACATTCTGTCGCTCACAGAATTTCTTTACATCGGGAACAAAACAGTCATCAAACCAGGAGAGGGACAGTGTAGAGAACATCCACGCCTTACGTGCGGTCAGCCAGTGGACATTTAGCTTGGTCATGTCCATGGTTTTGTAGGCGTGCGGCTTGCGTGCTGTGTGGATCACCGATAACTTGAGCTTACAGGTACCGGAGGCATTGGTGGTAAACAGGACGGTGATGCGTTCCTTCTGCATCTTCCGGCCCCGAATCCTGCTGGCATTCTTTACAACGAAGGACTTGGAAGGTAGCTTTTTCCAGAAAAGACCAGATTCGTCCATGTTAAACACCTGGTCGTCACTGTACTGTCCTTCCTCCATAATCTCACGTAAAAACGGAGGAAATTCCCGAGCCGCAGCACGGTCAGCACTCGCTTCTTCACCACCAATGTTTATATTGGTGATCTTGTTCCGGATCTTAAACCTCTGTAACCACCCAGAGGAAGCATTAAAGGGTTTGGGCTCTGTAATTCCCATCTTTCGTGCCACTGCGATGTACAGTTCACGTGCGTAGTCCTTAACAGAGCGCGTGTCGACCGCCATGTTCCGTCGCGCCTGACGCACCAAGTACCTCACAAGTAATTTTTCTGTCTTGAGAAGCACCTGGTTGTGAAAATACTTGATCATAGAAGCACCTGTAGACTTTGTGATCTTCATGTGCTCCTTTATCTTGGCTGCATCCTTCTTTATTGTTCGAATCGTAGATTCATTCACACCATGCTGGCGCGCCAAATAAACCTGCCTTGTTCCTTTCTCCAACTCTTGGATGATGGTATACTTCACCTCGTAGCTTAAGGAACGTTGTGTCTTCTTTGGCTTAGTGCCGCTGGGTCCAGGTAAGGAAAGGTTTCTCTCTGGGGGTGGTGGTCCGGCGGAAGCCATTTTACTGAACAATGGATGCACGATTACATGGTGTGGCCTTGAGGGATGAAACTGCCGCGGCTAGGTCAAGCGTCGTCTTTCCTCCCTCCCTCCCTCCCCCGGGTGGACACGTCATAAAACTTTAAGCCAATTACAGCTAGCAGCAGAGGGGGGTAGGGATGCATGGCCAATCTCAGTCCGATACGTCATATGACGTCAGTGATAACGCAACAAAGACACACACTGCGCAACCTTACCGCGCGGCTTGCCCAAGCGGAGGGAGGAGGAGGGAGAGGCGAGGAGCACAGGCAGGCAGGCGGGCGGGTGGCGGGTGGGGCGAATCTAAAAATAGCGTCGCGCCGGACACTCCGCGTAATGGGGTTCACGTACCGCGTAATGTGAGCACGTTAGGTTCTGGCAAGGCACCGCGTAAACGTGGAAACGCGGAATGCGGGACCGCGTAAAGTGAGGGTTAACTGTGTGTATATATATATATATATATATATATATATATATATATATATATATATATATATATATATATATATATATATATATATATATATATATATATATATATATATATATATATTTATTTATTTATTTATTGTGTTCAGACGTGGTGGACTACAAGAGTCTACCTGGCTTGGTGGAGGAGGTAGGGGCGGCGGTTGGGCCCCAAGGGCTCAACCTGCTGATCAACAACGCAGGCATCATGGACAAGTGTTCATCTCAGATGTTCGGCATCCCCCTGGAGCACCTGGAACCACATACCTTTAGCAATGTAATGGAGACCAACACCACAGCTCCTCTTATGTTGGTCAAGGTGAGTGTCACAAATAGATATCTACCATTTTAATTCGAGATCTTAATATTATGAGCATTAGCACACCAGCAGATATCAGAGTTATGTGAATATCTATGTGACATTTTTATTGTCCAATTAAAGTTCAAGATACATACCTTAATCTTACCTGTGATTTAACACTGAATCAACTTCAAACTAAAATACAAAATTACCCCATATAAAGATTTTGTTATTACAAAGAATACCATGTAGCTAGATTTGTTTAAAATAATTCAGTAGGAACCAGCTTGCAGAATAACACCAGGTTATTCAAAAGTTACCGCATGGCAGGTACCAAGTCTGGATCTTAATTACTGAACTATACTATAATTTCAGTAACCAAGGATGCACAGTATCATTGGAATAATTCCAATTCTACGGTGGTAAAGTGATAAATGAAGTTGGACGGAAGTGAGCGCAATATATAAATATAAAGTGAAACCCAAAAAGGCATATTGAATGACCAAGGTCACGACAGCGAACCATGGCAGTTGAGTGAGGAAAAGTTTACCCGTGTGATAAAACCCTAACCTTAATGAAATGTTGGTTAAAATATTTGTCGCTACCTGAAACGTTTATCAGATGATGACGTTATGTAAACAGGCATCCCTTAACAAAAGGCCCTAATATATATCATTAGTCAAGTGATAATGCTTTAACAGGTAGCTACCCAAATTTCCGCTGGCAGATCCAACCAACCTACTTTTTACATACGGTAATGTATTAATATTCAATGTTTTATTTAATCATAAAAAGAATGACGCCTGTACTCTGAAAGGAGGATTATTGGGTAATGAAAGTAATAGGTTTTAAAGATCATGGCCGGGATTAGACCCACCTGCTCCATGAGACTGCCATTGGGTGATGCCACCACGACTAATGATATCGTGAAAAGCAATGACAATTTATTCATTGCCTATGTGATTTTTAGGATAAGTGTACAATAATAACACATGCCATGGATGCTGTTCTCGGGTTAACTTTTTATGGTTTCCAGGTTAAATGCTAATGTCGTAGACTCTTGGATGCTCTTTTCATTAAGTATTTGTGTGGCTGGTTTGCAGGAGATGTTACCACTGCTGCGTAAGGCTGCTACAGTGGGCGGTGCTATAGGCGTGAGGAGGGCAGCTGTGGTTAACATCTCTTCTATCATGGGCAGTATGGGTTTGTTCACAGGCAAACCAGACGCCTATGGCTACCGCGCCAGCAAGGTAGGTAGTGTCAGCTATTGTTTCTTTTTTTACTTTTATCCTCTTCGTCACTGATCGGCTTGTTAGCCGCGTAGGTGGTGGTTCTGATATATCTGGATAGCTGAGGTGCCACGTCAGGTAGGTGAATGATGCCATCTGTATTCTAGTTGTCAGCCGTATTGTGAGGAAGGCATGTGATGTCAGCTGTACTGTCAGGAAGGTGTGTGATGTCAACTGTACCGTCAGTAAGGTGTGTGATGTCAGCTGTATTGTCTGACGTGGTGTGATGTCAACTGGACTGTCAGGAAGGTGTGTGATGTCAACTGTACTGTCAGGAAGGCATGTCATGTCATCTCTACTGTCAGGAAGCTATGTCATGTCAGCTAAACTGTCAGGAAAGTGTGTGATGTCAGCTGTACTGTTAGGAAGGTGTATGATGTCAGCTGTACTGTCATGAAGGTGTATGATGTCATTTGTACCGAAAGTAGAGAGGTATAGAAAAAGTGGGAGGTAACGGGAGGGTAGAGAAGGATTGGGTGAGAGGGTATGAGAGATAATAGTTAAGGAAGCAGAGAATGGCGACTGGTGGTGGTGGTGGCGGCGGGTAGGAGGCAGGGTAGGGGATCAATGGTGGTGTCAGAGTGATTAATGAAGGGGTGAGGGAAGTCCTACCTCATGCTGTGGAAAGGAAGATGGATAGGGGCTAAGGAAGAGAGGGAAGGAAGGAAGATAGGAAGCTGCGATGGACTGAAAGGGAGGGTTTAGGGAAAGAGAGAGGGGTGGCAAGGATTGAGAGAAGCGGAGGGAAGAAGACATGAGGAAGGAATAGAAGAGAGAAGGTGGAAGAGGGAGGGAAGGAAGGTGGGTTGGAGAGGAAGGGAAAGAAGGAAGGGTACATCGGAAGAAGGAAGGGAAGGAGGGTACATCGGAAGAAGGAAGGGAAGAGGGTACATGGGAGAAGGAGGATACAGTACATGTGAGAGGAGGGATACATGGAAGAGGGAGGGAAGGAAGGAAGGTTGGAGAGGAAGGGAAGGGAGGAGAATATGAGTGGAAGGGGAGGCAGGAGGGTGGGAGAGGAAGAGAAGGCAGGAGGGTGGGGGAGGTAGGGAAGGAATAAGGGTGGAAGAGGGAGGTTATAAAAGGGGGTGAGAGGGGAAGGAGGGAGGGAAGGATGAAGAGAGAATGACAGAAAGAAAGGAAAAACGGAAATGGACAGAAAGAAAATGAGGAGGAAGTAAAATGCGAGGTATAAGGGTTATACCTGGAGGAGGGGGTGGCCATAGAAATAGCAGTAGGGGAGGGTATCACATAACTTATGCTACTTCAGGTATGACAGGGTCTCACTCTCACTTCTATTGGGGTCACTAACCACAGACTGATAAAGGATTAAAAGACACTGTAGCTAGTTGAGTTTTGAAAGATTTCAAAGATCTCACAAAACAGACTTAGCTTGGTTGGTTGCTTTATGGTAAACTGAAAGGATGATCTTCAGTGCGCTATGTTATCTGCATCTGAAGACTATATTTCTGAGAGACAATGTTGCATGTGACCCTATTACTGTCAAGAATGGGGCCCATATCACAACAGGCTCCAGTCCTAATGGTTCAGTTAAGTGAAAGCCTATTGGAATGGGGCTTATTTGACCAGCCACCTTATGGATCTATGGATCATGGTGACGATATGAATAATAGGCATTGTACAGTATTAAAATGCGGTAGTTTCTCTTTGGTTGCTCTTTTAGTTGTTAATCTAAATCCTCACTGGCCTCATGTCAACTTACTAATTCACAATTATTTTGGTTCTTTCAGGCAGCTCTAAATATGTTGACAAAAATATTAGCCATGAATTTTGGTGATGAGGGCTTGATGTTTGTGGCAATCCATCCAGGCTGGGTCCAAACTGACATGGGAACATCATCAGGAATGATTACCACTCAAGAAAGCATTAGCAGAATCTTCAAAACCCTGCCTACTTTGATGGAGAAACACAATGGTCTCTTGGTCTCCTATGATGGCACTGTTATGCCCTGGTAATCACAATACAGTAACTACTTTTGACATTCCATTATTCTGTTCTAATAAATCTTGTACGAGTACAGTATAACTCATTAAAAAAATATATAAAGTTTGATAATAAAGTATTCAGCATCCATAAAATAAAAAAAAAAGCAGATTTTCACTTTACTACCATTCTCAAAAAAGTACTCAGAGGTTACCCACTGAGTTTTAATGCTGAGCTAAGAGAAATTTTGTCTACAGAAGAAGTGTACTGGTTAAATTCTGGATTAAAACTAGATGGTTGTAACAAAGAACAGATCAACTGCCCAAACAGCTAGTAAGCTGTTAAGTGATAAAATGATAAATTATGTAATAGTTGGCAGATGGTGATGATTATACTGTACAGCCCATCCTGGAGAAATTTATCCTCCCTTGATGTTGTTTCAATAATAAATGCAGTACAGGGGGCCCCCCAAATTTGCGGGGTTAGGCAGAGCATTCCACAATTTGGCTGTGTGAGGAAAGAAGGATGTATACTATAACAGGTTATTCTAGTGTGGCCGACATCCACAGAGAAACGGTGAGGCACCGCGAGCAAGACATGTGTTACAAGCCCACGGCCTTGCTGGCGGTACACAGGATGCTAAATCCACCGAACATTGCCAGTTGAAGTACCTGTAAAAGAGAGATTGAAGCAACATTGTGACAAAGAGAAAGGGAAGAACGATTATCAACTAAAGGAGGAGAGTTAATAAGATGAAATACCTTTGATTCCACCCTATCTAACAGTTGTACAGAAGAAGAGCCACCCTAGATATGAGAGCAGTACTCCAAGTTAGGATGAATGAATCCCTTATAAACTTGAAGCAACTGCTCAGGAGCAAAGTAACAACGGCATCTGTACAGCATTCCCAACTTTAGGAAGGCAGCTTTAGCAACGTTGTGGATGTGTGGCTTCCATGACATATTAGAGGAAATGGTGAGACCTAGCATATTTATTTTAGAACTTGGCAGAATGATTGCATCCTGAAATGTGATTGGTGGGAGATCATCTAATTTGGAAAGTGTAATTGGTAAATACTGAGTTTTATTACTGTTGAATTAAACCAAGTTTCTACCTCCCCATTTGGAGATGCTGCACAGATCCGTATTGATAGATGAAATTATATCTGCTCTAGAAACAGATCTAGTTTCAGAATTAGGGGGAAGGGAAAAATATGAAGAAGTGTGAAGATTAGAATCATCAGCAAAAGAATGGATAGAATTAGTCGTAGTGTGAAGTAAATCATTGATAAAAAGAAGGAAGACAGTAGGTGAAAGAACAGAACCCTGTGGGACACCACTATTGGTAAAGAAAGAGCGAGAGATCGATCCCTTGACAACAACTGCCATGGATCGGTTCTCAAGGAAGCTAGAAACTAGAGAACAAAGTGGGGGAGAGAAACCATAAGAGGGAAGTTTTGAAAGCAAAGACTTGTGACATACCCTGTCAAATGCTTTGGAGAAGTCAAGGGCAACGACAAAAGTTTCCCCATAATCCCTAAGAGAGGATGACCAAAGACGGGTGCAGTAGGAGAGCAGATCACCAGTAGATCTCGCCTGGCGAAAGCCATACTGGTGATCCAACAAAAGAGAAAAGCGTTCAAGTAAATGAGAGTTTAAGATAATTTCGAAAATCTAAGAGAGGGATGAAGTTTGGGCAATGGGTCCATAGTTAGTGGGATTAGAATGGTCACCCTTCTCAGAATGTGCTGAACCAAGGCATGCTTCCAAGAAGAAAGAAAAGTTTGGGTTTTGAGACAAAGGAGAAAGAGGCGAGCAAGCACAGGGGCTAGAATTTCAGCACACTCCCTCAGAACACGAAGGGGTATTCCGTCTGGTCCATGCGCCTTACTTACAACCAACCTGGATAACACACCAGCAACCCTACGAGTGATGAAAAGAAAGTGCATAGGTTCGGTAGGAGGGATAGAGTTGGAATCGTCTAAGGTGGAGTTAGAGGAGAATAAGGTGCCAAAGAGATTGGCTTTATCAGGGGGAGAATTGGCTATAAAGTTATCAGGTTAGAAGAGAGGAGGAAAAGAGGAAATGCAGAAGTTATTACAGATGTTTTTGGTTAAGGACCAGAAGGATTTACTAGAAGAAAAGTTAGTCAGGACAGCGGTCTTTCTTTTTATAAAATTCCGCTTGACCCTATAAAGAATAGCCTTACAATGATTCCTAGAAGTAATGAAAGAGGAGTGGTTAATAGGGGAAGGAGAGAGTTTCATAACTTGATACACTCTATCTCTCTCTCTACATGCAAGAGAACAGGAGCAATCAAACTATGATTGTAAAGTGAAAGTTTTGGTAGAAGATGGGATAAATGCACTTATACCACCCTGTATAACCCCAGCAATGCTGTCAGCACAGACCGAGGCATTCTGCGTGGAAAAGCAACATTCATCCCTAGGAAGGTCGGAGAGCATCATTCATCCCTAGGAAAGTCGGAGAAGAATTCTCGCAAGGATTGTCAGTTTGCCCTCCGATAGTGCCATAGCTGGCATTTAGAGGGGGTTTGGGGAGGTGGTCATGTCCAGTTTGATTTAATAGAAATAAGATTGAGATCAGATCCTAAGGGGGCAGAAATTGAGTATGAATAGTGTGAGGGGTTAGAGGTAAAACAAAGGTCAAGAATGTTAGTAAGTTGATCGTGTTGATCAGGAACACGTGTAGGGTGTTTAATTATTTGTTCCAGATCATTAAGTAAGGAAAAAGAGAGCGTCTCAGCTCCTCCTGGGTCATCCCTTGCAAAGCCAAGCCACTTTCTGTGATGTACATTGAAATCCCCTGGGTAGAGGATCTCAGTGTTGGGGTGTGTGGATAGCAACGACTCATGGCAAGAAGTGAGAAAGTCAAAGAGTTCCAAATAGTTGGTAGAGTTGGGAGAACAGTATAGGAAACAAAGAAAAATACTCATAGTTGGTAGAGATATTTTGAGCCAGATAACATCATAAAGAGAAGATTCAAGATCCGTGAGTCGAGCTATAGGTGTACATGTGTTGCTGTAGGCACATACACCTCCCTTAGAACAGAAAGAGGTACAGTATAAAAGTTATAGTTGGAGACTTGAAAAGGTTTGGGTGAAGCTGCTTTGGTCAGTTGAAGTTCAGATAGTACCTGTAGTAACTACTAACAATGATAGGCTTTCCTGGTGTATATTGGATAATAAACGAGAACAGTTACCACCAGAAAAAGTTTACGGATTTGTTTAATTTTTCACTAGAGATTCTGTAATTAAATCTCTCAAATAAAATATTTACCATAATTATGGTAAGTTTTGGTTCACATTGTCTGCTATGCAGGAGCGTCCACAGTCTTGTTTACATGTTAAGAAACGAATGACAATCTCATCGGGCGTGTTTATTACGATTTATATTGGATTAAAATTTTGTATTTTTTCTAGAGATATTGTTTAGATGAAAGTAAGTAAATCAAAATGACCATGCACAGGTTAAAAAGTTAGGTGAGGTTAGGTCAGGTTATAATAGGTTTTGTGCATTATCGCTTCCATTTTCGTGTTCAGTATCATGTAAATAGTATTTCCAGAAATTTTGGTTCAAATCCATGTTACTTCTGGCATTAACTGTCTCCTCCACCTTTACCCAAAATAATATAGGCTTACCTTTAAAACATGGCAGTTGTAATATTGGTATTGCTCCATTCTTAATCCTTACAAGTCGTCTTCTTGGTACCGGTACCATTTAAAGCATCTTTGTAAACTTTTCCCCATACAGTGTTACCAGATCACCTGCCTCAGATTTGGACTGGGACGAACTTGTGCTGTACATCCCCTCCTTCCAATAGTGATAAAATTAAATTATTATGCTGTGATACCATAGTGAGAATTAATACACATAATTTTACCTATAATTTTAATATAAGACTATTTACAAATAGTGATGACATACATCTGTACAATACAAAAGTTGGAAGAGTAAAATTTCACTAGTTTAGGAAATGTAGGACTGCAAAGACATTCTGTTATGTGACCTTATAGGAAGCGCATCATTTGAAACAAAACTCAGTTGAATCCCAAAATGAAACTTTCAACCTTGAAAAACAGTTGTCATGAAACTAAATAATAAATAGAATGAGACTCAACCTATTAAAATGAGCAATAAGCATAATTATGATTACATATTCCATAATAAACAAAATGTATAAATGACAAAACACAAAAGACGAATATAACTGACTTTAAATAAAAAAAATACATCACAAGGCTATATGCTGAAAGGTTTGCTAACACCAATTTGCTTAGTACACAGCAAAGCTTGTCTCAGCACAATGAAGAAGACTGTTTTCTCCAGCCATGTAATCTACTGAGAAATTCCTCCTCAGCTGCCATAAGTTCACTGCATTTTTCTTTTACAGTCAAACAAACATCATCAGTATTTCTAGTCTGCTCTTGTCCTCAGCTGCAAGATATAACGATAATTTTTTATTAACCATCTACAATTTTTTTCTATTGAGGTACTGTATTACAGTACTAAAATCCTATATGGTGTGTGTTATACTATGTGTAAATAATAATGAAATGGACAAAGGATTTTCTTGCCAAAATAAAAATAATGACATTTTGATTGAACTGCAAAACTGCATTATTATACTTTTTTTTTACCTATTAAAATACTAATCAACATGGGCAAGTAAATACTTGTTAACATTTTTCTTCACAATATTTATAAACTTTACTTCAAAATAACAAATTTTACATATATTTTCAAGTAAAGTTTATGTAAACGATATATCTCTTAGATCACAAGAGGGAGGAGTTTGATTGGCTTTTCATTTGCACTTTCAAACATTAATCTACTTCTGGGTAAGCATAATAGACGTCCAGAATTAAATATAATATTTATTACAGCATCTGATACTTCTATAGCCTATACAGGGTATATAAAATGATATGGTAGTAGTTGATATAATTCTGTGTTAGAGATAAATGAAAGACAGGCTATACAAGTTGGCTGCATGACACTCCCAGCCGCTTCTCCTATAGCAGGAACATCTAGAAAACCCTTGACACTAAGAACAGGAACTGCACTGCACCACTCATTACTTGGGAAACTTCTGAACAGGAATATAAGTACTGATCCTCACGCCTCTAGCTACTAGACAGTACTGTACTAGCTACATGGAGGAATCTCGTGTGATTTCAGATAAGTTCCACATCACATGATGCACTAACAAAAGGATGGCCTACAATACAAAATGTTCTGTGTTCGTACTCTGTTTCTGATTTTCCATAATTTGATCTTGCATTTGTAGACTTGTTATTAGATGCACATCCTTATAATAACTGCATTTTTTAAGATATAACTGGAATATTAATTTACAATACACTCCAAGGCAATTTCAGAATGCATGTCCAGTGGGCTAAAGTCTTTAGGAGTGAATAACTCCAATATAAAAATAAACATAATGAAGATTATATGATCAAAGGGTTTCAAATTGCAAGACCATAAAATGATGGTCCAAGGGAGTCTGAGGCACACACTAGTTTCTGTGTCTCAGTAACTTAAGGTGAGGGTAACTCTGGAGCAGCTACAGTGACATCGTATTTAGCTCCATCTTCTGTTTCACCTGTTAAGGAGTGAGAAGAACCCATACTACGTTTCTGGGCACGTACTGTAAAGGGCACCTCACGCCTTACCACTTCCTTTTCAAATACACTGCGAGCTGTAACAAATTTTGCTTCATAGTCCACCTGTGAATCTTGCCTCTGTTTCTGTTCCCCCTGTTGACTATGACGGGACTGAGAACGGGGACTAGCAGGCAGGACGGTAGCAAGATGAGCACGGTAAGAGTGAGACTCAGCTTGGGTAGAGGGTAGAGCAGCCCCAGCAGCCGTTGCAGTTGATTCAGAGGATGGGGAATCAAGTGCGGAACTGTGTGGGTCATCTCGTGATGTCTGTGTGGTGTCCCCTACAGGAATATTATAGGCACCACGAGAATGATAGCCAGATGAATTGTCTGTGGATGGGGTAGACTGCCGTGTGTCTAGATTATTTTCGTCTAATACAACAGTATGAGTGCTGCGATGATCGGTGTAACAACCAGAGTCCCTTCCATGGTCACCACGCTGGAGTGCAGCCTCAGTAGTGTCTAAGGTTTCTGGAGGGTCAGGTTCAGGCTCAGAATCAGCATCATGGAGTAATGCTACAGCAGTTAATAATTTGGCACAAGTCTCTGGATCTGTGATACCAAGACAGTCAAGATCAGCCTTCTCTAAATCTCGAAACTGGTCCAAATCTTCATAGCCATTGAGTACAAAAACCTGTAAAAATTTAATTTTTGTGTATTATTCCATAAAACAAGGTGAATGACGTTGAAATTAGTAAAGGAAAAAATATACTAAAAAACTAGCTATACTCTTCCAAATTGTCTTTAAGTCTATGAAGAAAAATTGTACAAAATACAATTAGTGGTTACACTTTCTTAATCAAGATACAGTACATGACTGTATGCTTGTCATGAAACATTAGTTTCAAATTACAGAGACAGTAGTAATCTACAGAAATGAAGAATGTTAGCTAATGAGCCTTTTCTCCATTATATATCTGAGCATTAATGATGTTTGTGGTTATAAATTCTTATGATGTGCTCAATGAAGTTGGTCAAGTATTTGACATTTACCAGCACAATAATTTTTTTTAAGTAATTCATGATTCTTTAAATCATATTTAGGTCATCATTCTTCAAAACCCAATTTGGTCAACATTTGCGAAGACCTAATTTGGTTAACGTGAAATAAATTAAAATGCAAACAAAACAAACACTTGTGAAGTCTAAAGTTCATGTTCAAGTTAGCAATGTACAGTACAGTATTTACCTTGTCACATTGAAATCAATACTGTACGTATTTGGATTTTGTAAATCTATGTGATTGACTTGCATCATATACTGTACATACACTGTAGATAGTTAAGAAAAATGATATGCTGTATCAAACATAAAATAGTGTCTTTAAGTCTAGGTGATAAATGTTAAACAAACTACAAATCTCTGAGAGTTTACACTGTATAACCATGTAATAATTATCGATGGTGATAAATACAATACTGTACAGTAGTACTGTATATGTGTGTGGTAACTAAAGTGCTGTACAACCTATTCCTATTTTTGGGATGCATTTTATATGGAATGGATTTTGCAGATGTAAGATTATTTAGGCTTACCTGTATAAGATGACCAAGGTGTAGCCTTGTGAGGAGCTCCTCTAACGTACGTGCTCGACCTCGACGTGGAGTGGTCCCTCGCCAAGCACGACTACGTCGTGCTGGGCGTTCTACTTCTTCTTCCACGAGGATAAATTTGAAATGGCCAACTCGTCCATCAACACAGCCCTTCCATAATCCAGATGGATTTTTAGCAATAATATCAATTACATCTCCTTTCTGTTGAATGAAAATGGGTATTCAAGTGAAAAAAATATATAAGAATATATTGTATATTCTAAAATTCAGATAATACACCTGATAAAAAAAAAATAAGACAGAGCTAAAGCAATAGAAAGACGACCTATTTTCTCAATAATGGTTCTCTTCATTTAGTGTCACGAAGTATTTAAGATCATACAGTGTTCTGCCACATTTCAAACCTTATACTGATGAAAAACAAATGAAACTTCTAACTTCTCTATACTGTACTGTATGTTCCCCACAGCTCTCATGAAGGAAAAAGTGTTGTCCAAGTGTTTGTTGGTGTGTCTGATATCATGTACAAGCTAACTCAAACAAATAACGATGTATCTTATTCAAATTTAATATGTACTGTTTATACATTATGAGAGAATTTCATAAGTTTCAAAGTTTGATAAGAATTGTCCATCGTTACTATCCAGAGTTATGGTGCCAGTCGTTGCTACAGAGTGGCAGATGATGTGGTCATCCTTTTTAGCCACCTATATATTTTCTTGCATCTCTGATTACACTTTTAATAATGTGTATACAGTACTGTACTTCTTATCTCCATTATTGAAGTAGCCCTTACCCAACAAGTGCTGTCTGTTACAAAAGTAATACAGTACAATACAAAACAAAGTATGGTAAGTAGCCTATTAATTTTCCAATTACTCTGTAGAGTATACTGTACCATTATTTTTTTTTACATTTTCAGAATGGAGCAGTACCTGGTGGTGTGTCATACACTCTCAAACACCACACTATTTTTGTCTTGTTTTCTCTTATTATTTCTTTGTATCTTCCAATGGTAAATCAATAAGTATACTTTTAATATACCAATTCACAGTTTTTTACACTTCATGTATTTCTCTGGAAGTAAAAAAAAGACTACGTATACAAATGGAATATGAGTACGGTAGGGTTCCCCAGGAATTCCATGATGGATATTTTGGAACCGTTCAAAAACTTCATAAAATTAAAATTTGATAATACAGTACTGTACTGTATATAACTGCTGTGAACTTCTGAATGTTGGGTGATCAGACTTTAAAAGGAGACTACAGACATGTTTAAATGATACTTCTTTGGATTCCAGGTACTGTACTGTGCAATAATTTTATTATACAGTACCTTTAATAGTAAGATAGAACTGCCTCTTAATTATTTATTCAGCTTTCAACATAACCTTCGCAGTCAAGACTTTTCATGTTTAATGCAATAAAGTAGTAATAGAAGGTCCATGTCTCCTATGCTACATTTATAAATAAAATATATATTATGAGAAGGCTTGAATGATGAAATAACACATAAGAAAATGCAAAACAAATATTTTTTTAACTACAAAACATATAAAAATGATGAATAATTTAATGTTTCATTATGTGTTAGCTTTCGAAATAAGTTTTACAAAAGTATTTGTGGAGAATAACACTCAGCCAAAGGTAGACACCAACAACTAATTCTTAACTACAACTAAGGAAATGCAATTTAACATGAAAAGTTTACTTACTGTTGGCATCAGTTGTTCATGGATGAGCAAAATGTGAGGGGAAAATACGACTTAATTGACTAAAGTCTGCACCAAAAATACATTGTGCATTCAGTTATTTGCAATCCTACACCTGTTAACTGTTTGACAGATTCACCAATTTTTCCCCAAAGGAAGTAACACGAGTGACATACGAGGTGGGGATTCTGTTTAGAATTATAAAATGTATAATTTTGACCATTATATTTGCTTGCTACAAACTATGCAAAAAGTGAACTTGGTTATTTCCTACTTTAGTACTTCTCCTTATTTTCATTTATGCACAGCTTGCAGGTTCAACCCTCAATACTGACCTCCAATAAGCCAACATTCATGCAGAGACATCTGCATTTTATCCAGTTTAAGAAATCATAATCTGTACATGTGTTGTACAGTATTGTACTACATTCCAGCTTAACATGAACAAGCAACATAACGATTTATTAACAAACTTAGAAGCTCAAATAAAAATGAAAATTACAATAAATTTCTATTATTGTCTTCCAAATTACTTAAAATGTTATGGTAATAAATTTTAGGAAGAAATTAAAATGAACTCTTCCAAAAATACCTGGTCCAGTTACAATTCCTGAAAGTTTCCCTGGAAGTTTTATTGAATTCCAGGAAAGTTTCCATGCCTTTGCAACCAAAACGTGAATACAGAACTACTGTACTGTGACAAAACATACAAGAACCATCGTTAGCAGAAATGTGCTTTTAATAGTTTTCTTTACTTCTAACTACTGAACTGTACTGGTACAAAACAGATTTATCTCTTAATACAGTATCTCTACAAGTGGTCTTAGCTATTAAGTCTACTACAAACAGAAGTTGTAAACATGGACATTAAATTATTTCATATCTCTGAAGTAACAAACACCTACCTTAAATTTTAATGCATCTCTGTCATATGGTGAAGGCTGACAGTCAACAAGTGCCCGTGCTCTACCAATGAAAGGACCAGTGTAAGGTTCTGCCTCCTCTCCAGATAATGAAGATCGGTTGCTTCCTGAAGCTGTTGTAGCTGTAAAACAGTGCAAGGAAAGCATAAAATACCTTGTATACATACCACACTGTATATAAATTAGAAAAGAAAATAATAAAAAGAAAATCACAACTTTTTATCCAAATGAAATTATATTCTATATATTGACTACCTTTACCTTTCTCCCACTTTTGTGTCTGGTGGATCATAGAAGGCACAAATTTAAGAGAACTGTGGAATAATAAGGATAGAGGTGCTAAATAAGTGTGGAAACAACAGTAAAGGGGAAAGATAACAGGTAGATATATCGACACATGCATAATCATATCTTCAACTTGCATTCTCCTTATACAGTACAAAGTAAATCTTAACATCCACAACCATTAAATTTGTATAAAGTTTCATGGTGTATAAGTACTGTACTAGAACTCTAAAGTTGTGAATATCAACTAGAGGTAGCCAATACCCTTTATACAGCAAAATTAACAGGACCTACGACAGATCCTTATATTACTCATTACAGTATGCAATGAAATTCCATTATATTTTTTAGATGTACCACTGCATTACCAAGCACTTGGACAAATCCTGTCAGTGTCTAATAGAGGTGCAACACCCAAGCACTTGGACAAATCTTGTCAGTGTCTAATAGAGGTGCAACACTTGAAGGCATGGGGTATTAGCTCAATGACACTGTCATTTGGTGTATTTATCTGGGACCAGAGTGGAATTAGGATTAGAATCATTACTGTACAGTATGACAAGTCTTCAATGAAACCTTGTAATCTGAAATTATATGTTCACCACATGATGGTCAGGCTGCCATTACCATGTACAGTACAGTACTTAAAGCAAGCGGAGGTGCAAAATGTATGTGACATTAAAACTCCCTCTACTGTACTGAAATATTAGATGAGCTTAAATACTTCATCGGATTGTGCAGGAACCTTAAAAATACTCTGATCACCATGAATGATGCACTAGATCTACCGGGTACCTGTATATGCAGAGAAAAACATAGATCAAAATTTGTACAATAAGTGTTGGTAACAAAATAGGCAAGTTTAGTTGCTGAAAGACAAGAAAGTCTCTTTAAATAACCAAAATTCTGAGTGTAACCAAGGAACACAACTATCATACACTACATATATAATAATTACTTATACTTTTACTGGTTTCAAAGCCAGATCAAACTGATAGTCAATATGGTAACTTTAAAGATATTTTTTTTTTACTTACCTAAAGGAGCTGATGTAGGGATACTCTCATATGAGGAAGCTGTAGGCTGTTGGTGTGCAGGTGCTATTAGTGATGCACCAGCTTTGTCTATGTTAGCTACTGGTCCTGGGGAACTGGATGTGCTACCTCGAGGACTTTTGAGGCGGGATATTTTTTTCTGCATGTCACGACGAAGACCCCGCATACGCCCTACTAGTGAAGCTGATCCTGTGCGCTGAAAATATACAGTACAGTACTAAAGTAATTATGTGTTAAATATAGTAAAAGTAAAATTACAAGGGCAAAAAAAGAAAATTTTCTGTTATCCCAAGAAAGCTTCCTCACCCTTAAGTTGTTATATTTGAGGTGCATACGACCAGTGGACAAAACGCAAGAAAAAAAGGGAGACTTCTGCTGCTTTCCTCTCTGTCATATGCTGTCCGCCGCCAGCCCGGCACGTACAGGAATATCAAATTGGTGGGGGAGAGCAAGAAGTTATTGGTGGGGAAACATGGCAAGCACAGTGAGCCCATCCAACTGAGGGGTTTGGAGGAGGGGGACACTATAACTCAATTTTACTTGAGAACATGGAAGTTGCCTCACTGGTCACCCCAATGCATACATTAATCAACTCAACCAATAAAACCAGTTTTAAAACCACATAGTCCCAAAGGGGCTCTGACAATGCTAGTTCCACCAAAGAATGGCAGCAACTCCTATTTTCATCCCACACTGGGAGAGAACATTCACTTTTTTTTCACACAGCCCCTAACTTCTGTATCGCTTCCAATAATAATATGTGAGAATCTGAATACTGCTAGTTAGTGACAGAATGAAAAGGTCTTCCCTAAAATCCCTATTTCAAAAACATGGTCAAGGTGAAAAGTACTGTAGTTAGGCTAAAAGAAGGCACTAATGATGAAGGTAAGTCAATATTTAAGACTTGCAATTACATAATGACAGTAAGGATGGGATCACATACCTCACCCTCTTCCTGCTCCTCGTAGTCTGATGAGTGTGAGGGTGATTGGCCATCTTCACTGCCACCACTCATGCTGCTGCGACTCTGTAACAAAAACAACACTGTCAATACCAGCACCCCAAGGGTTTTATGAAGCATGCGGACACCACATGTATTGAATATGGAACAAACTTGTCTATACAGAAACTAATTCCAATAATAAAAATAGACTCATATCTACATATGGTAGAGTGATGATAGGAGACAAAAGGTATTACATGTACAGTTACAGTTCATGTACAGTACAATGTATATTAGATAATGTAATGTCAATAGCATAGTAAGATAAAAAAACAAAAAAAACAACAACACAACGGGAGAATGTACATTGCCCCAGTACTGTATGTGGTGACAGACTGAACTGTAGGAAGTGGTGTGGGGAAGAAAGTCAAAAGAGTGTGGCTATCAACTGAAAATAAGTTTGGAAATAATAGAAACAAATAAAAACAATCACCGAACCCCCTGGTTTAAGGTAAGCCATCAATAATGTTAATAATGTTTCTATGTACATGTCATGTGTCTGAGTGCGAGCACTGCACTGTATACAATACTGTATGACAGGAAATTTATATTTGGCAGGAGGTGAAATTCCTATCTTCGAAACTATGATTTGTTTAATTACCAAATTTAATAAGAAATTATTTTGTAACAAAATAATACGTTTACCAAAATACAATTACAAATTATCGTTTCGGAGATAATCCAATTTTAGGCCTATGGCATTTTCCCGCAAATTTAGCCATGGAGAGATGTCACGCAGGGGTATAGTGTGACGGATCAGACCAGCGATGACTCTCATCAGTGCCGGATTTAGACCTGTGGAGGCCCACCTCATTATAACTACCCAAGAGGGTGAGGTGGCGAGTGAAGCGAGCCTAAATATCTGGGAGTTCCGGGGGGCGCTGTAAGGCCCCCCCCCCCCCGGAAAATTTTGAAATTTGAACACTTCTTTGGAGAATTTTGAAGGCATATGCAGTTATACTGAGGAAATTAGAACATTGTGAAATTGTTAATTAACTGTATATTTATTGATAGTGTACAAATTCCCAACACACACACACACACAAAAGTGAGACATGACTGGAGTCATTCATGTGGTTTTAAGTCGACCAGCCCTGATATAGCTACTACCGCACATGTGGAGACCCCTGGGCAGCTGCCCACTTTGCCCACTCCTGAATCCGGCCCCGACTCTCATAGAGAAAAGACAGCAATGGGACTGATTGAAGAAAGACATACCGCCAGATAACTTCCCAACCACTAGATGTTCAAGTACCTTCTATCAACCGAGAATACTTCCATTTAAGTGTACTGTATATTATTTGTGTAAAACAAAACGTCCAATCAACTACAGAAATTGTGATGGCATAGAAGGCATTCTCAGCCCCAAAGCAATCCAGAGGACTCCAGGACGTTCCATCTTTAAAGTCAAGAATATACAGTAAAAGTATACTGTAGTATATTAGTTATATTTCAGAGTAGGATTTTTGACTACAGTCAACCCTCACATTACGCGGTCCCGCATTCCGCGGTTCACCGTTAACGCGGTGCCCTGCCGGAACCTAACATGCTCACATTCCGCGGTGCGTGTACCCCATTACGCGGAGAGCGGCTGGCAAGCCGCGCCATTTTGGGATCCAAACCTCCCGCCATCCGCCATGTTGTGTAAGAGGCGCGAAAATGGTGCGCACAAGGTCGCCCAGTCATCAAAACATTACCAGTTCTTCACCCGCCACCCACTACAGCCGGCCCAAGTCAGTGATAGTGATAATTATAGTGAGGATATGGGCTTATATGAACTTTGGGGGGTTTGACAAAGAGGCCCTGCAAGCCTCTGTGGTGGATAGTGATACAATTGATACAAGTGATACAGGTGAGGGCCAATAATCTGCCCTCTGCCTCGGAACCAACCGCCCATCCCCGTGTGCCCAGCCATCTTTTCTACTAATGTAAGTGTTAAAAAACCTAATATTATTGATATTTCTCTTAATTATTAATTGTGTGTGCATGCCATCATAAAGTTAAGATAATATTTTTACTACAACATAGTTGTGTGTCGTCAAAAAGTGGAGTTTGGGGGTCGGCCTGGACTCTACTTCAATTAATCCCATATGTTATGTTATTCACTTTACGCGTTCCTCACTTTCCGCGGTACCCTCCGGGTTACATTAACTGCGTAAAGTGAGGGTTAACTGTATTTAAACCTGACTGTGTACTGTATTGTCATTGGTGCTAATATGTAGGTACAACCATACAATTCAGTTGGGTCATGTTTTGGTCAATTCCTCTTATGGTGGTGTAAAAGAACACCCGAGTTATGACATGCATTATAGTATTGAGATGGCATTCGACAACATTAGTCGTCCATAATGGTGAGTAACACAGTTTATATCTATTGTACCCTGTAATTCCTTTGTTATCTGCTTACACCAGGGTATGCCATTCAATTAGTGCATAGATTACTCCTTTATAATTATTAAATAGCAATCATAAGTAATTTTTCATGCTTTGACAGTGTAGCAGTAGTAAAATTTTTAACTGTGATGGAGTAGGGCCTCATATTTCTACTCAACCTATTACCACAGGGTCTGTAGTTCTACCGCAAATTTATAAGCATAACCACTATTCTAAAATTCCTGACAGAGATTATATAAAGAGTTTTAAGTGTATTGAAGAGTATTTTTTTCTTATTTTATTGGATACTGCAAAAAAAATAAATATAATGTGCAATAAATTTAGGAATTTCTTTGTAGTGTTTTTAATTCTGAAATCTAATATTCTACTACAAATCTTGCATCCCATACTAAGTTCCTCTCTTTACATTTGTACTTAACACTTTCTTTAATGCTGAGGAAAGACAATAATGCCGAACCAATCTTGGACCCTGGTCCTTACATGTACTGTACTGTACCTGAAAAGTAGTTAATAATAACACCCTCAATGTGTTGCTTGGTCTCTTAATCCCCCCTGGTTCCCTGGTAAAGTTTGCCTTTCTTGCACATCGTTAATAGTATCTCCATAGTGCTGTTCAGTTACCACTCTTTTGTAAATAAAATTCAACTTTGTTATTGTAAAACTAGCTTTACTAACATTTGAATACAAAGCTCTTCTCCCCCGACACCCTGTGAGTAATGATGCACTGTATATGCAGATACTGTACCAAGATTGTCCCTAAAAACACAGTTCATGGGAGCAAGCTAATATGGTTTCCGCCAGTGCTAAGTGACACTAAGAGGGGAGAGGGTAATAAACCAAACAGAGGAAGACACTGAAACAAGAAATTTGGCCAGTGAAAGTAATGACTTGTCCCACACACATACACATCATACTGACCATTAGTTGTGACGGACTACCAATCACATACTTTAACCAAGAGCCAAAGATGAAGGGTAACCAACATATAAATTAAAGTGATAAGACAATTGGATTCACCACCATATCATACATCACCATAATGCAATATAAAAAGATAAATAACATAACACAGTACCATCAATACATAACGACTACGACCATATTTCCATGGTAACAAGTATGGATACATTACCAACATCACACACACATCAGAACATAAGAATGGAGGAAACTGCAGCGGGGCCATTGGCCCATACTGGGCAGTCCCATTTACACCCAACCCCTATTACTCATCCAACCTATGTTTAAAGTTATCCAGCGTATTCGAGTTAATAATGATGTTTGGTAACTTGTTCCACTCGTCCACTACTCTATTTCCAAGCCAGTGTTTACCTATTTCACGCCTAAATCTAAATTTGTCTAATTTAAAACATTTGTTACGCCTTCGCTCCTGGTTGGATAGTTTGAGTACCTTTGTAATGTCCCATTTGTTCAGCCTTGACTTACATTTATAGTTTTATACACCTCTATCATATCGCCCCTCACTCACATACACATCATCACCATCACACATACTGTATACATGAAGTCATGATCACCTTCACAACTCGTATAGACATGACCATAATTACCCATACAAGCACAAGAAAACCACTTAAACATTTGTAACAAACAATTATATGTTGAGCTGAGTATTTTCAAGAGAGTTTATTAAGCTCTACCCTTGGAAATAATTAAGTCAGTGAATCACACAGTCTACAGAACCACTGAATCACCAGCCAGCCAGTATGTGCATCACAAGGTTGAAGCGACCAGTCAACAGTCCCAGGGCAGCTTTGCACTTCCCAGTATGGCACAGTCAATCCACATCCGCGCCGCACCAAAACACCTTTTATGACTCAACGTCACGGACAAAAGTACTGTACAACACTCGGTTTTACTCATAAAATTACTGTAATTGTTCAGTACTTGTTGTGAGTAGTAAATACTGACTAAGTTGAATCACGTGTATGCACCGAGTTCAGTATGACGTCATCAGCACAACCCTATCGATAAGCGTTGCTGCTTTGATGACAAAATTTATCACCGCTACAATGACCTGGCTTGGCCGTACCGTGTACATAAGAACATAAGAATGGAGGAAACTGCAGCGGGCCTATTGGCCCATACTGGGCAGTCCCGTTTACACCCAACCCCTATTGCTCATATAAGCATCCAACCTATGTTTGAAGCTATTCAGCGTATTCGAGTTAATGATGATATTTGGTAACTTGTTCCATTCATCCACTACTCTGTTTCCAAACCAGTGTTTACCTATTTCCCGCCTAAATCTAAAATAGGTAAACACTCTCTGAACTCGGGTAGATGTAGTGGAATTAAGAAAATAGTGCCTGAGTCGGGAACTCTTTGAGGAAGGTCGTGGAAACTATTCCCTATCAACTCATATACTAAAACTAATACACAAACAGTTTCTCAAATATTCGCTAAAACACTTTTATATGCCTTAAATACACTACCAGAGCCACCAAATACACATATTGTAGTACTTGTATGCCACTGTGGTGATTTGTGACATGTATACAAATGCAAATTCATTAAGCATTTACTGACATTGCTTACATGCAGATACAACATTGTTTACGAATTTATTAAAGTTATATAACAATGCTTTTCTTATCCACATGTTTGCA